TTAATATATACTTTTTCCTGGACCTGAAAGTATCGCTTCGTGATAAGAGCTCCTCACGAACCCACTCCAATACATGATGATCTGGTGCGTGAATACTAACACTTTAGACTATTTGCTTTTGCCCCTTTCTTCGCTTCCTCACCAACCACCCTTTCCCCAGTCCCTTGGATTTGTAGGTATAAGGATGGTAGGCTTCCCAGCCTAAGTGGGATACGCTAGGGTTGTCTATCTTGAAATTCGGAAGCTGAACCGACCTCGCCGGATACACCCCCGAACTTTCCGCGGGCCCTGCGGAAATGTGACTGCCCTGTTGGAGAGGCATCTCGTGTGTTCTGTGCTTACAATTATATAAGTTTTGTCTGGTTTCCGGGGATCTTGCTGACCCGTTGAAGAATATCCTACGGAACGTGTCGGCGTTGTGTAAGAAAGACAAAAGGCTGGATGGGGGGGGAGGTTCGCTCTGGCCGATAAGACGGCCCCATTGAGTAAACTAGAGTAGGTATGGCGAGAGCTTTCGCCAGTTCCAATTAGCTTCATTAAACCCCGGTCTGATATAGTAAATTTCGTAAAACCTATCCCCCCTCCATGGAAAAAATATATATATATATAACGAAAAATCAGTTGGGTGCCATGTCCCCAGACATCCGCAACGCGGAATACTAGGAAAAGGTTGCCGGTACAGTACGGTACTTGGCAGGTTACTGTGGACCAAGAAGCCGCGGTTTTGGCGAAGTCGGCGTCGATTCTGTTCCACCGTGAATCACTATACTTTATTCCCGTGTAAGTTATGGAAGTTGGCCGGACAATGAGGGATGCGATAAGCGTCGGGAGGGGGGGGGGTGTCAAAAATTATGTGGCAGAGCCCCAGTCGCTCTTTGTAGCTTCACTTGGTTTCGTTCTGATGAAACTGTTGGACATTGGGAATTATAACTATTTTCAACTTCTCGCCTCACGTGTTTCTTCTCATTTGTTGAACCAGGGTTGGGAAACATGGATAATAGGTATATTAGATTCCCATCTCTTTAATGCTCCGCTTGGATAGAATAGTTCCGTTCCCTTTTGTGACTCTTTTTGCTGTGAAAATGATTGGCCAACGGAAGGAAACGGTAACTTTGTATGAGGCTATGGAACGGAACCGTCGTATCATATCCAAACAGAACTTAAGTAGACCCAAGAGGTTACCCAGAAGGTTCAGCAACAAGGATATTAAGATAAACACTCAGAATGTCATTTGCGCCTAATTATCTAACCCAGAAACCTCAATCCGGTATGATAGCACACATAGAACTATAATATTATATACATGTGCCTTTCTACATCCTTGAACAACAGCTAGTCCTGCATATCAAAAACAACCCGCGACGATGCCCCCAACGCCTACGAATACAGTAACCCCATCGTACAACAATACCCTGCCCGGCATACCCTCGGGCATACCCTCTTAACTTACCCTCCTCACAAGATCGGAGAAATCGGTAATGGCACGACACATGTGGGCTCGCCTCGATGGAATGCGATGAAGGATTTGGCATATGCTGGGTCCGTCAGCTTCGTTGTTGGAAAGAGGCCGTGTAGGAAAATGCTGCGGGTTTCTGGGCTAGCGGGTGTAGCTAGCGTTCCGGCAAACCGGGATGTGCTAGGGAGTTTCACACCGGCGGTTCAGGTCCAGTATGCGTACTGGGGTTCTAACAGGTTCACTGCAGTATGGTGTGAGACCTCCTAGTAAATTTACAGATTAAGGTCTACTACTTATTTTGAATATTTTACAGCCAAGAACTAATTCTTCGGCCAGCATTAAAAAGGAATACACTAGCGTATCGGTGCCCTTATTTGTTGTCTTGGGGAACACTTTTTTACGCCAATAGGATTTTCACCACTAGTGGCTGGTGGCTATTCCTCTTTTTGTCGCAAGTCAGCCTACTGCCGCCACCGAGTACTGCCTCCAGAGCCGGTACTAGTACCATGGTCATTTTTCCAGTTCATGGTTCATGAACTGCGAACCGGCTCTTTGAATCGTGGTGAACCACCGGTGTGAAACCCCCTAATGGGATACCGGTACAGTACTTGTACAGTACTCGTACAGGTACTTGGGTATGATCCTTGTACTGTACGATATCCTCAGGTAACTTATGATACGATAGAGGAACCGCTAATCTAGTGGTGCCAAGCTTGTGGCTAGGCGCCACAACCTTGGCATGGGGAGCATCAACCGAAACAAGCAAGAGCCTCACTGTCTGATGGCAAGAGCAGTCTAATGACGATCTGATAAAGTTTTGCGGGAAAATTCGTTATCAGATGGTTCTCGTCATCAGAACGCAAGGAACTTTTTATCATATCTTACCACAGGTTATGATAGGAGAATTTCAACCCTCAACCGAGTTACCTTGTGCCCCGATAGCGCACCAAGTCAAAATACAGTGCGAGAACCAACCAGAGAAGGGATTTTCAACTTTGGAAAAATTTCCTAACAATCACGAAAATTGAGTAGAAATGGGGGCAAACAAGACGAGAATACGAGCAGAGGACTTTTGTTTAAGTAGGAGGAGATTTAGCTTATCCTCCTCACTTACAAATTTTAACACACACCAGAGATGAGAAATTTCGTCGGCTCAGAACTCAGCCGCTACTATTCAATTATTACTATAATCGGGATTCATTCGTTTCTGGAACTGTTAAAATCCTGGGTGCTTTCCCAAGGATTTGGATTGTGAGGTAACCCCTCCGAAGTGGACGATTTTTGTATCGCGTAACTTTTTCTATGGACATATTGTATGCTACTATCATCACGGTTGGCCCTCCTTTGTATGTATTCCCAAGTGACCGTCTTCCCTTCATTAGTTTTCTTTGCGTATATAATATCTTGTCTAGGGATAGAACCGGTAAGTCGTCTGTTTCTGGCCGGATTAGAATATCCGGCTATATATTCGAAGGAGATCTCCCTTTGACCCCGGTTCCCCAGAAGAAGCTTGAAATACAAACTTTAAGTCACCGACATGCTTCCTTGAAGATCGCGTATGTATTGACCGAGTGGATTGAGAAACGCACCTTGTCATTATGATAATATTATAAGAGGAAACAGTACTGGTACAGGTACTGTGTTTGCCCCTTCCGCATGGATAGAAGGTTAAGTACGGTAGGCTCAAGTGAAGCGGTTTCCTCACCACGCCAACAACTCGCACCAGCCGCCAAACCTGTCTGATTTACTTTTCACTGACATACAAGACGTCGGAAGGAGGCAAAATCCAATTATCGGCACCCAACGGATTGTGAAATCGATATCTTACCATACGGTGCAAATTCCTAGGTCTCTCGCTGGCAAGCTAGCCTTGTTGCATGGTGACTTCATCGCGAATTAGATTCCTCTGTTAGTGTGGTGGGAGCTATTGCGATTGAGGCTGGAGAGAGCACAGATCGGAATTGTGCTTTATCATCCCAGTATCAGCGGAAGAAATCACGGCAAATCCTGCCCCCCGGTAGCCAACCCTATCCCTTACTCGCTGTCACTTCCTCCTGCTAGCTTACCCTCTCTGCTTTGCTTAGTGTGGAATTGCCTGGTATGGCAGTTTGCTCGGCATCATATCATAGGACGGAAGGTCAACTATAATACGTATCATACGGCAATGCGAAGCCTATTGGAGGTTTTCAACAGAATTGGGCTACTGTACTCGAGTAAGTGAAGCTGCAATATGCACCACCGTTTCGGCTGCGTATTTTCTGGTCCCGCGAGTATTTGGAATTCTGCCATACCCCTCAAGCCTCCATACCCGGCAATGCGACACACAATATTATATCATTGGGCAGTTGGTCACAAACCCCCCACCCTGCCCACCTACTACAATATCACGTATGGAATACATCCTTCTTCCACCCAAGAAACTTCAACACCGGGCTATACAACTTTTGTGGGCATACGGAATTTCCGATCGGCGAGCAATATCCGACTCTAGGAGCCCCTTTGAGGCACTCTACAGCATCACTCTTGGATCAGCTCTCATAGCGCCGAAGGGATTTTTTAAAAAAGAGAACTGCTTTCGCGTACCCTCCGGATCCAAGAAAAAGGCCCAATTTTAGTAGCATGCAAGACCAGTCCATATTGAAAACGCTCCAACATCACGAGCGGACTGACATCTTACACAAAGAGTGTCCTAGGTCTAGACGAACCATGCGGCTTCCGCGCAGTTTTGCGGTATTAAAGAGTGGTCTTGAAAGCAGTTATTGGTTGCGGGAATCAGATGGGACCATCAAGCGCATTTCCCCTGGAGCAATCACAGAAATTGACTCAAGGTGAACTCGCGGGCGGTCTGGCGGTTGGTTGGATAAGTGTCTCCATTCCGTATTGAATTGGGCTGGGGCATCTACTCGGGCATATGGATGAATACCGCACCAGTGCGAGCCCGGGATAGCATACCCCGCAAGTCTTATTACGAGCGGTGGTTTTTTCTTCCTGTTCGCCACGAATCAATGGCCTGTTGCCAAGGCGACCCTGCACCCCATGCAACGGTGCCTCTGCGTTGGTGCCATAGTTTCTGGGAACCACGTTTCATTTCAGACCGCTTGAAGAGAGAAAAAACGAAGGAAGAATTTTTTGATAGACAAACGTGTTCGTGGGCTGCGAGGGAAATGCCGGCTATTGGGTGCAAGGGCACGCGACCTGTATGGTGTTTGGCACGTAGATTTGTCCAACTAGTTGAGCTGTGTGCTGGTCGATGCTGCAGGTTGGAACAACTCACCAACTGCGCTACAGCGCTTGGGCGAGGACACGGTGCGAGTGTTCGTCGTGAGAACGGCGGGGGAGGTCCAAATGGGATGGAAGGAAGATATACAAATGATGAGGAATTCCCCGTCTGTCTCTTGCTGATAGTTCGGTAACAGCAGCAACTCAATTCTTATATTCTTGTGAAAGGGAAGAACTGGTTCTTTTCTCTCGCTCTCTTATTAATTTTAGTTATTCTTCCTTACTTTACTGGATTCGTCTTCGCAAGACTTGATTGCCGATCGCAATGGCGCTATCCTACCACAAATCCTCGGTTTACATCAGCCTAAGCGGGAACCAAGTTCTCTCCGCTCTTTGCAGGACATGCGACGGGGAATGGGTCCGCTCGACAATCGACTTGAACACCGTTCTCGGGAACTGTGACGGTAAGGGCACTACATTCACCCTTTCTCCAACCCGAGCTGACAAGACAACAAGGCCGCTTCGAATGGGGCGAGACCAGGTTCTCCCACACGGCCAAAGATGTAAAGCTGAAAGATAACCGCACCCTCTCCGCATATCTCAAGCGCAAGGACGGAAGTTGGTCGGAAAAGCCCGTAGAAGTGAATCTTACCGAACACATCACGAACCACGATGGCGCACTTCGCAACTGTCAACGCGCAGCGGAGCAACAGGACCAGGAGCCATCTGTTGCACCAAACTTTCTGGAAAAGCTAGATGCTGTCTCGGGGCTTTTGCGTAGTCAACAGATCGCCGCGAAGAACTCTGGTTTCGAGTTGGAGTTTGTTAGCGCTTCGAACAACCGCCTGATGCTGGAGGAGTTAGAGGTTGCATTTTTGAGACTGAGGAAGCTGATGGGCGTGATTTCTGGGGAGTTTGATCAGGAGGGTGAAGGGGGGGAGGATACTGACGCGGGAAGGCGGAAGAGGGCGGAAGCGGAGGCGGCGGTTAGACCGATGATTAAGGCGTTCGAGAAGGTGCGGGGTAAGGGTGACAAGTCTTTGGCCGCGGTTTCTAGGATATGTGGTGCGGTATGGACACCCCACGTGGATGTTTAATATAAGGAACCTCACCTCTTATTGATGATATACTATAGACGGCAGAGTACGAGACGGCACACCTCCCCATCATCCGCCGCGATGTGGAAAGCCTCCGTGCAGAGATTGATCTGCAAGTCAAAGACGTACAAGTCTCACTCGAAACGCTGCAAGAGGCAGTGACCACGTCCACCACGGAACTCGAGAGCACCCAGGATGTGCTTAAGAGGTCAAAATCGACAAAGGGCAAAGCGAATAGTATAGAGACCCTCGTATGCCCTCCTTCTATCCCCTTCTACATCCCCGCAGCTAACCGATTGGAAACAGATAAAACACGCCGGTTGGATACTCCTCCCCATAGGAATAGGCATGACAATTCCGCTAACCGCCACCGCCCTCGCCGACAAAATCACTGCAGCAGAAGAAAAGCTCAAGGAGTTGACCACTCAGCAAGCGGAGAAGCAGCAAGAGCTGGACAATCTCAAACTCCAAGAATCAGAATCCGCACTCGCGCTCCGCGCCTGTGAGGACCTGACAGCGCAATTCACCGTCCTTGAGGCTGACGTATTGAGACTGAAGACCACGGCGGAACTCGCGAGGGAGAACATTACCTCCACCCTCACAACAGCGAAAACGCTCGAGTCGTTGGCCAGGGAGATGGAGGATAAAGCCTCCATGCTCGAGTACAGGGTTTGCAAAAAGGACTACGCGGCGCACATTGTCCGCGTACTGGATGAGGCGCTGCCTGGGTTTGCTGTCGTGGGGGATGTCGGTGAGCTACTGACTGAGCTGCTTGCAGGAGACGATTCCCAGGGCTCGGTTAAGGAGTTGAACCTAGAAATTGAAGTGGTCAGGCGGAAGCTCCAGGTTGTCGCATAGGGGTTCCTCCCGTCTTTGTCTCCCGCGTCTTCCTCCCTCTCTTCGTCCTCCCCATCCCCTTCTCCCTCTTCCTCGCCCTCTTGTCCCTCTTCACGTGCGCTTAAACCTTTACGAAAAGTTGTCATAGTGCCGCCCGTGACGGGGAAGATGGGAGAGGAAAGGGGGGAGGAGGAGAAACTTTACTACTACTATCGCTACTATAAGGAAGAAGAGGGTTCCCGGAAGATGCAGACAAAGATGGGATTCTGGGAATGGCCCGACTGGAGTATTGTCCTCGTATCCGTATTTTTGTCAGTTTTGGCGGCGATATATGTGTTCGTGGTTTGTGTGCTTATGGTGGTGTTTATGCGGATGTTGAGGGCGAGGCGGAGGTTGTATGCTAAGACTACTACGATTTGGCGGGGCCTTGTGTGATCGCATGATGTTGAGGTGGCGGTCAGGGGTTTCGGGATATTTTTCGTTCATCCTTAGATTGTTTCGTTTGTGAGGTTGGGGTGGCGTCTGTTTGATTATGGTGGGATTGGTACATAAACATTGCGTGATATTAGGATAGTTTACCTTTCAATACGAGTACAAAAGCGAATACACACTGCCACAGTTCATCACGTGCTGTGGAATGTTAGATAAGTTATCCACAGCGCCACCATATCGGTACCAGTATTGGCATGATACTCGAGTACGGTACTGGGGCACTGAAAAGTACGAACTTCTTACTTTCTTATTCCCCTCCACAACTGCTTACCCATCACGAAGACGGGACACCGCATTAACTTGGACGACCGGCCTCATCAACCGAGACTCGCCTCGAAACAAGAGTTTTCTCTGTAACCCGTCTCAAGGTCGCAGCAGGACGCCTTCTCCCAAAACCGTGCTCTTTAGGACAGTAGTTATCGGATGCTTTACCGGTACTTCATCTCCAACGGTGAGGTACACTATTCCAACATACACGTACTCGGGTACTAACGTATTAGGCCGGGAAGGGGATTAGACGGGGAAGCGAACCGGTCAAAAAACGCACCGAAAAGGTCCAAAATTTCAAAATCTCAATTAAAACCCGATACTCGGAGGATGAAATGAAGCTGTCTCGGGAGGTATTCCAGATGCTAGATTTGCCCTTCTTTGAGCCCAATTCAGAGGTTTGGTTTTGCCGAAATTTCTACAGTGAGGATTCGAGCAAAATTCACATACAAAGTGATTCACTTCCGTGTTCGATCCACCTCCTGGTCCAATACGTCACCGGCACCGTACCCGCGGCAGTCGAACCTCACCCGTTACCGCGGCACCCACCATGGCGAGGCACTCTCGGGCTCGTTGATTAATTCACTGTAGGTGTGCCTTGTCGTACAAATGAATGTCAAGACTACCTTCCATCCAGAAAAAAAACTATGATACCGTACGGAACTACCCACGAGGACTATTTCAGACGTTGGACTACTGCCGGTGATCTGCGGATCCGAGAGGGGAGTACCGGTTATGTTGAGTACGGGCGTCACACCCAGCAATCCCGGTTGCGACTAAAATTTGGAGAATCTCACCGGTGCAGCGGCGGGATGTGATCTGGGACAATGGGTTTAAGAGGTTCACGATAGATATTGGTAGATATTGAGAGATCTGGGAGGGCAGGTGGAATTTGGTTTTGTTAAGCTGAATTGCTCAAACCCTACTTTTCTTTTTTTTCTTTTTCTTCTTTTTGCAGGAAAGCTTTCACACGACCTCGGGGAAAAAAAAATAAAAATCTTTTCTGCCGCAATAGGCTTATCCATTGGGGGACATTCGTGCCCTGTATCATACGAATCTGTGCTTGTCTTATCTTATCTATGGTGGATGTGATCTCGGATAAGATCTGGTTATCATGAGAAAAGTAATTCATAGGGCTGAGGAAGCCAACAAATGATTTGATTGAAAGTCTAGAATCATAATTGGAAATTTGAATACGATAAAACAATGATCCCTAGGCACTTATCCAATCTATCCACTATTGCTGGCCACAATTATAAATTGATTTCCCGTTCATCAATATATCACTCGAGAGCTCATCCATTCCATATTATGATGTCACACCCTTCTCCTGCGATCTGACTCATGATATCATACCGCAATGCAATATTTCTTCAGACCAGGTTTTGTTGATTGATCTATAGTTCGATTTGTTATGGTAGTTTAATTATATTTACCCTTATTACTTATTGGCAGATTGCGAGTATCACTTTTACTATTTTCCTCAGCACTATGAACTATCCTTATCAAGGTATGATATCTTAGTTAGATCTTATCTAAGATCACATCCATTATAGATAAGATAAGCACCGATTCTCAATACGATCGTAACCGAAAGGCACATACCAGTATCCAGCCATCTGAAATTTCCCAGTATCCGCACCACATTCGACGCTTTGAACCTATCGAAATGTTTTTTGATTTGTCTTGGTGTACGCCACACCTAAATTGGGGGAAGACATCTTCAGATACCGCATTGTATTGCCCGGTGTTGGTAGATGTCTGTTGCCGATTGGCAAAAATATTTTCTATCGACGTGCCATATGCTAGGACCTGCCGGCGCCGCTGGGCATCTACGGAGCCTATGATACATACATTGGAAATTTTAGGCTACAAAACAAGGGCTACCCTCACTTTGACCCTTCCTGGATGGACCGTATATATCTACAGGCTATCTCACCCGCCTGTCGCCCACAAACGTGCGGAAAACCGGGAATGGTGGGCGCTATATTTGCGGTTGCGTGTAACTTACTGGAGATATGACAACCCTAATAACACAATAACACACGCATGAGAGTGTGTGGAAGTCGATGCAGGGGGTTCTGCAGTGGTCTATAGTGCATAATCTGTACTTTCGTCCATCATACTCTTTTTTTGCTTATTTTTTCGTCTCTGACCTGTACAATACTCTTTACCTCTGTTCATTAGACGACTCATTTTTATTCTTTTTTCTCTGGGTTGTCTTTTAAAATACAGTACGCTATGAATGTATCATAGCTTCTCCTCGTGTTTAATAATCTGCCCCTCATAGTGAATAATGAAGATGATGGCCCCCGATAATATGGTAGAGCGTCTGAACAGGAATTCAGCCATTCCACTCGCCTACCGTTCGTAACCCTCATGAACAAAGCAGCGATTGCGGGGGTCTATATTTTCGATTGCGCATGTTAGATGCTGTGGATGGATGATAGGTTATAGTTGATTCTGGAAGTTGTAGGAGTCTGGTAGATCGTTTATGAGTGTTATGAATTGTTCTAGAATGCTTTAATTCCGTTTTCCTTATTTATCCGGTTTTACCGTTTTTTAAAAAAGACATTGCAAAAAGAAATAAGTTAGGTTCGAACGAGAAGGCGAGGTTACTTGTCATACCTTCTCGACCTTTCCTATGATACAATATTCCCGAGTTCCAACCGAATCCTCCAGTTCCACCCCAGGGCCGTCTACATCCCACTGTAGTAGTCTGTTCCCCCCGTGCCGGTGGCACGTAGAAGTTCGCTCTGATGGCACGCACACGTTTTGGGGGCGTCTCTGCCCCCCCGCCACTTAAATGCGAGTGCTCGGTAATGACGGAGTGCACCGGTGGTGGGCTAATTTAATTTCCAGGCACCCTGTTGCAGCAACAAAGTATTATTACTGTATGGCGCGCAGCGGGCGAATGTGCACTGCGAAATAATCCGATGAAAAGGAACGGGTGAGTAGACGGAACTTCGATACCCATCGTACTAACCTCGCAAGATATCCGCAAAAACGGAAGCGATTATATATATGAAACATCATCTCTGGTCCACCACTAATTCCCATCCTTTCCCTCCAAATTCCAAAACAGTAGGGGGCAACTTGGAGAAATATCTTGAGGGTCTGCGAAGACACAAAAAAATGAGTCACAAACACTGTGGCTCAAAAGAGATGTCTATCAATGTCCTCCCGTTTTCCACTACCACTTCCCTGGTGCTCGGTCATGCAATTGCACTCATACATGGTCTAACGTCCCGCAATGTCCAGCGTCGACACAAAAAACTTTCGCGAGATGAGTGGATAACAGAAACGGTAGATAGATCAAAAATACTGAAAAAAGATGCCATCGCGATAGAGGATAGGTTGGCGATCGGCTTCCCTAGGCATTTTTTCCTGGATATATTGCGTACACCGTACTTGGGAGAACAGGCAAAATCACAAATGCTTCTGCGAAGAAACACATGTTATGTTATCATGTATGTAAGTTACCGAATATTCTTTTTCCCCCTCGCTTTGCCGAAATGGAGTAGAGTATTATTTTTTCCTTTTTCTTTTCCTTTCCCCTTTTCTTAATCTGTTGGTATTGTCTTCGGGAGTAATTTACACTACCAGTACTGTATATCCTACTATCAAATTTTCAGTCCTTTTGTTTTTTACGCTGCTACTGAAGTTATCGGATTAAACGTGTGTTGTACGATATAGACTGCTCTGGTATGGATTGTTTTCTCTTTTCAGTTCTTTTCAGCCCGCTATCCTGGCCTACTTGTGATTCCACTGGCCGTGTGTACCATCACACTTCAACCCTAAGTCTCCTTCGCTCAAAGCCCTGTGGGATGTTTTGGTACAAGAGTGGGTCTCTGTATCGTGCCGTGTGTGAGGATCACCCCGCATCTACAGGGATTTCAATTACTGCGAGAGTGGAAGGGTCTTGTGTCCTCAATGGTTATGTGAAATTCGTCTGTTGCCAGGCTGACTTGACTATTGGGCAAGGAATATTCACGGGCTTTGGTCACTGCTTGGGCGAGCTAGCATATCAGAAATAGAGGTTTTCGGCGGTAGGAAAATCTTAAAAAGTCGCTACTCGATCCTGATTATAACTTGTTTTTTCCCTGCTGTGTCGAGGTCAGAGAACGTTTTCCTATTCGGTTGCTGTAATGTGAGCATTATGTGGTGGGTATGTCTATCCCAAGGATGCTATCAAAAGCATCGTACTCTGTTGCACCAAATTGGGTGAAAGTTCGACATTTTTGGAGAAACAATCCCCGGTGTTCCCTTGTTGAGACAATTGCAATTTTGACGCTAGCTTGAAGATTACTTCGGACTAATCCCATGGAACTGCGAGTGAAAAATAAAAAAAGAAGTTGGGATTGAGCTCATAATTTTTAATCGTATCACCTGGGTTGAAAGTGGCCCACTTAGCCGGCATTCCCTCCCGGGTTTTGTAATTTTTAAGAGTTCTGTGAGGGCCTATGTGTTATCCATGGTTTTGACAATATATTTGTAAGGCCTGTGGGCTTGCTCTCAAGG